GTATACACGAAACAAAACAAAGTATAATAATTATTATTTAATTAAATGACTAAACAAAGTATTCAATAGCCTAGTAAATACTACTCTTCGACTAGAAATATCAAGCCATAGGTTTGAATTTTATAAACTAGAATCCAGTTAAAGCAGACTCAATAGTCAACATCTATGGTTAAATAATTAATATCATGTTACTTAACAACATTATTCATTCAGCATTTAATAAAGATAGATTAAAACATAAACTGAATTTAGATAGATAAGCATTGTCCAGAGTTTCTCAATTCTCAATGTTTGCCTAATTGAAGACAATATGTATTACTAACTATCTTCATATTGAACAATAATCCAGCGTAATTTAAAATTTTAATAATCTCATATACTAGAAGGATTTACAAAGAGAACTTAGTTGGTTGCACAATCCTGTTCTCTTAGATCATATATATATATATATGATTATAAAATAGTTCTGAATTTGTACTAATCGTTCGATCTCTTCATGAAATAGAAAACCGCAAAATCAATACCATGAGGAAGTCTTCATTATATTTTCACTATCCTGTATTTTATAGAATGAGAAGTAATTTCTTCAATAAAACATATAGTGATACACCAAACCCAGAGACCAGAATTATTAAACAAAGCGCTATAATAATAATAATATTGAGCTGAATTCAAGAATGAACATCCGATAATTTGTATTACAAAAATGCACAAACCCTTATGAACAAAGAAAATATTTAATGACTCACTTGATTTTTTTGAATTTTTACTGTTAGGGAATATGCCCATTCCATAGATCACCTCTCTGTATTAATTAATTAACTTTTAATATCATTAAGATTATTAATTGTTCTTGACTATTAAAATATTTTAATGCTTGAAATCATGAATCAATTGAAGCTAGACCACCTTAGAAAACCTGGAAGCAATGGACGGCCGTTTCGTCCTATTGTGGGAATCCTCAGCAGTGCGCATCCCTTGTTCCGTCTCGCGAGACTGAATTCCAGGACCTATCAGTTTCGTGCGAGTATGGGAAACTTCAGTTATTCGTGTATATGAAGAAATATGGAGATATTCACGATAATCTTATTTTGTAATTAGTTTTTGATACTATTTGTATTTCTTTCACATATTTTCTCATAATTTGTGCATTTACTATGAGTGACTACAAAATAATTGTTTAAAATCGTATGACTTTGAATCCTTCTTTTTCCTTTTTGAATCCCCCATAGTACGATATACTGACTGAAAAGCTTCTGAGTAAACACGAGATGTGATTCCTAAGCTCTTATAGTAACCCCCAGGCTAAATCTACACAGCGACCTGAACACAAGGGGAAAGGAGCGAAATATGGAAGAAAACGCTTCACTCCAAAGGTTCATTCCTGTACAGAAAATCTGGGTTTTTTTTATAGTATTTTAAATGGTCTTGGGTTTCCGGGAAATTCTGGAATGCTACTCAACATAGTGGTAGTATAAGTAATTGTCCAAGCAGAAACTCAGCATGCGATTTTCCACTTTCTAGATGTTTCTGGTAAAACTTCTAGTGAATGCTGATTGGATAAAATCCTTTTCAGAGCCTTTTTTGGCTGCTTTTTCGGGGAGTTTTCTGGAACTCCTCAACACTAATAACCGCTCATAAATACGCTGCTACATATATATGTCTCTAGTTCTTAATTGCCTGTTGTTATGATAACTGAAGTCCAACGTATTTACTATCTACATTTACAGACAGCTATATTTCCATTGTATACTTTATCTGGATATACTGCTCGAAGTATAACAATCTTTATTGGAACTATCAATTACTTATAATTGTGGAATATGATGCCGAATGCAACTCAAACACACCAGGTCCTGACAAATTAAGTAGCGTCCAGTAAATTTTTTCTTGTGTTTATAAATTATATTTAATATATAAATACATTAATTTTTGGACGTAATAACTTTATTATTCTTTTTGAGTTGATATATATTTTGGTTCACCATAGAAGTGTCTTTTAGAAACTAACGATGATTGTGTTTGTACAACTAAAATGAGTAAAATTACACTAAACTCCATTTGAATTGATAGCTTACACGGGACAAACTACTATCTTAGGTAAATCGTATTATTATCATCGATTTAATTACTTAAAAAAAGTCAACCCGAGGACGACAGTAATAGTTTCTAATCACCGATACAACCTGGCCTAATACTCCTTTTGATAAAAACTAAAATTGGACTCGAAAGTAGTTGGTTCATTTTAACTGAGTAAAAGTATGGAATTCAGAATGGTTTATTTTTTTTAAAAAGGATCATTAATCTTCAGCTTTCAATGAAAATATATAGATATCACAAAGAATATGTATATCTGGATTTGTTGTGAATTTTATCAAATATTTGATTGAGGCATAGTTTTCAGAAGTATGGTGGAGAAGTGTGAGATGAACAACATCGATAATTGAGAATAGCGAACATTTCATGGGCTTGCGTTTACAAAATGGAAAGTGGATAGTTACTACTTCATGTTGATATGGTTTGTCATGAATGACAGTGAGTATAATAAAGTGTAGACGAACTTTATATTCGGCTTTCATTCTCCATAGCTTTCTGAAAATAACGTAATTTACAGCCGAATGATTTTTTTAATGATCAGCGTCTGAAAATCTACAGATATTTCACTAAATTCTGATAACCATACAGCAAACAGTTAATTTGCAAAATAACAACCAATTGTCTCAATCTTCACTGTTTCGGTTCATCTTCTCTAATTTCATTGTTCATGCATTTTCCTACCAATTGCGCTTGATTTCAGTTCGTTCCTTATCGGTCTTCTGCCAAAATACATTCTATGTCTGACCATCAACATATACTACTTATATGGATATAAGTAGACTGCACTACACTGCAAGTCTATCCAAAATATTTTCATCGGTCGAGACATCATAGACCTAAATGCAACAGCTAATAGTACTCTAGAAGTATAAAGTTAATATATGTGGAAATGTTTTGAAAATTTAATAACTTTCAAAACTACAATGATTATCTTTGAATCGCAATTCTAATAACAACGACGAATTATATGTATCATGGCGAATTCCTACCAGGATAACAGATATTTCTCACCGACTATAATTAAAATTTCCCACGTACAAATTTTTTAACGTAACGAAAAGATGCGACGTATAGTTTAGAGAAAAAACTATTAAGCGATTGCCTGTAGATATTTATTAAAAATAATAAATACTCTTCAGTCCTATTTCAAATATTTAAGATAAATAGTTAGAAGACGAAGATTATTGGAACTATGTGATATAACTAGTGCAAATATTTAGAACAATATGATAACACATGCTCATTAAGTATGTGCTGACAAATCGGATAGTTCTGATAATCTTCATCTTCTTATTACATTATTCAATCTTTAATATTATTTGTTAGCTTTTCAAGAACATAATACAAAATTTGTTATTATTAAGTTCGGTGAGGAAGACGATTCATTTGTGTAGATTTCATTGTCAACCTCAACAACATTATCCGAGGCTACTTGATGTAGAATTGGAAACATATACCAGAGCTCCGAATCTACTCTATCACATGATATATATTTTTCCGGAATAAAGGTAAGCTAGTGATGATGTGTATTCTGTACTATACTTTGCTTAGGTATGTACATCATAATTAGATACATAATTAACGAGGAAAACGACAGAAAAGTGTTTTCAAGGTGAACTGTTTTGATTTTTGGTAAAATTACATTGTGGGTTTTGCGACTAAAGTTACAATCATCATACCATGAATTTCTAGGCGGATTACATCCTACATTTCTTTAGACACTGACTTTTGATCAAAGTTATGATGAAAGGAAAGCGTGACATTTGTGATTTTCAATATGAAAATGATTAGAGATCTTTCATCAAGTCAAGTAAATCTACTTTTCATCATACAAATATTTAACATCTTACAACTAAAGGTTTCACTCTTACTGAAACATCACTTGTTTATTTCAATATTTTAATGCCAAATATCATCGAGAATATTTGTGACACAAATTTGACCTAAAATTACTATTTTAAAACTGAGTCAATAGATAGATATTCACTTTCTTATTAATATCAGTAGAAAAATGGCTTTCATATATATTGAACAAACAATTGGTTTTAATTCATAGTGAGTTTATTAATTAATATACTTGATTGATGTTCTTAATATTACTTAATAAAAAAGGAAATACATGGATACTAAAGTTTCAATATAATTCGAAAAAATTATTATTTGATGCAAATAAACTAAGGGATAATATCTTGTAGGGTTCACGTGGGAACCTAGTAGCCACGATAATTATATGCCACAAAACTAGTGCACTGCACTGCAGTTAAGTTGGAAGTTAAGCTAGGAGTTCTTACACAGCAATGGGATACAGTATATATTGAAATGACTCAAGATTATGACATCATGAGGATGTTGACATGCTTTTATAATTGCATTGTGTCAACTGACGTTATTTTCTTTACGAATAGTCTATTCTCTATGATCCTGATATGTTGGAGAATATGAACGATAATGGAATTGTGATTCATTGGTTGAGAAACTTCAGGTCCATCTGTTCGAACCCGACCTTGCATATGATGATCTGGTCAGTCAAATACTATCACCAGTCATCACGTATACACTATATGGTCCAAATTCTTACTCCAAAAACTGTATACTATTACTCAGAGCTATGTGATAGAGCATTTGCAATATGTTAGTAACAAATTATTGTACATGAATAGGGAGCGTATTCTACAACAAGTTAAAATCAAAACATAATCTACAGGTAAAATCAGATGACTTAGATTACAAGGTGAAGTCACAATACAAATCGATCAATGGAATACAGTCAATGATGAACATCAGTTAATACTCCATGACCGATCAATATGGAATTTTGTTGTCCAACTAATATTGTGGTGTTGTCTACTTATATCTATATAAGTAGTATATGGTGTGGGTCAGACATAGAATGTATTTTCGCAGAAGACCGATGAAGAAAGAACTGAAATGAAGCGCAATCGTTTGGAAAATGCATGAGCAATGGAATTAGAGAAGAAACAGTGAAGATTGAAACAAATGGTTGTTAATTTGCAAATTGACTGTTCATTGTTTGGTTATCAGAATTTACCGAGATAGTCTGTAATGTTTGCTAAAATACATTCGATTGTCCCCAACTAGTGTTTTGTTCACTACAATATTACTTGAAATAAAGTTACAGTGTGCTTCTACATTGATCCCCTTTAGTAATCTTACTTCACATAGACATTGTTCGCTAATAACGATAATAAACAACAAAGTTATCTTAATTGTTGAATACTTTTCTTTAAATAAGTGGTGATATAAGAAACAAAGAGAGATATGGAGAGCATAAAAATTTTTTAAAAAATTCGCTGTCATTATTATTATTATTGTCATGAACAAAATTGAGTTCGCTTTTTTTTTGTATCGACCAGAAATATCATAGGAATTAAATAAAATGATTTGTCTTTTAAATTAAAAAAAAAGATAAATAAATAAAATGGAACGATGCGAAAAACACAAACAAAACAAAGATAGACAAGAAATCAGCACAAACAATAAACATATGTCATAGCAATCACAAATGACGGATAGAGATAAAATGATAGTAATATAAATTTTCTGATATATTTCCAAGGGAATGGAGGGGGAGGCAATAACTAACAAAATAATCGTTAAAACAACAATAAGTCTATTAAAATAATAATGATTACCTAACTCAATCAATACATAAAATAATGACATTGATCGTTGTATAATCTCAGTAATGGATAATAAACACAGACAAGTGTATGTGTATGCAAGGTGGGGTGGGACTAGGCAATAAAGTTCCCTAACAAAAATATAAAAACAAAAAAAATGGTTTGCAAAATAATAAATCAAAGAGAGAAAGCATGAAAGACAAAACTAGAAAAAAAAATAGTAAGAAGAATGAGAATAACCAAATAAGAGTTTCAACGGTACTTACTAGTAAGGAGTACACATACAGATAATCATACAAGCACATTTAGTAGATAACATAGTAATCACCATTAGTATAACCTAATAATAATAACCTATTTGATTCAATAGATTAATGTACTATTATTAGTGAAATTGTCAAATGTATACGACTGTTGATGATGATGATGTAATAATGGTTGAGATTGTTGTTGTTGATAATCAAGATGATATTGACTGTTTTGATGATAATATTGTGGATAAAGATTTAATAATTCATAATTGTTGCAACATTGACATCTAATAGAATTTTGAAATATATAATTTTTACTGTAATTATTGAAATTATAATCTTCATTATCGTAATTATTGTTATCAATATGATTATCTGTATAATCATAAACATGTTTATACAAGTGATGTTGGTTATTATTAACTGTAGAAAAATAACGATTATTTATGAAATTTGTGAATTGTAATTCATTTATCATATGATTACATGATTCCTTTGAATGATTGATATTATTAGAGATTAGATTAAATTCATTTGTATCTTTATTGTTAATTGGTGGATATAAACGAGCTGATATGGAGAAAATAAAAAAATTAAGAAAAGAAAACAAAGATAATTATAAGACATTAAATAGGAATAATATATTTGTAAAATCTCAGCGAATGAATTTTTTTAAAATTAAATCCAACGTTAATTACTTAATTCCTTGAAAAAGTTTGGACCAGATTGCCAGGCGAAACGTTGGATTTAATTTTAAAAAAATTCATTCGCTGAGATTTTACAAATATATTATTCCTATTTAATGTCTTACTTCAACTCGGCGCTCAAATACTGTGAAACTATTCGTTCTAATTTAGACGAGAGTTCTTATAAAGATAATTATAGTTTCATGTGAGTGCGAATAAGCTGAAAGCTGAATGGAGAAAATTAATAGGCTACTCAAGTGTGGACATATTACATGTTATTTTATGATTAAGCGAGATACGCTATTGGAGTATGTCAATTGTGTGTTTATTCTGTGACTAGCTAGGAAGGATAACCTTACATATACCTGTTGATTTGTATACATTGTAATTCGCTTTGGTAATTAAAACTTCCTACTAATTCTAATATATTCATTCATATAGTGAGTTCGGTGTAAAGCAGAAAGTATATCTTATAAATGGATTGGACAGTTGAACAGAACACCTATCACAAGTTCATTACATAGCAAAATAAAGATGATGATAATAGTGATACTATACTGTTTTTGAATCAACCCTGTCCACAGCTCTTTTAGGGTTACTGTCGCTCTCAAGTGGGGATAAAGGAGGAAGATTGGGCCAAGATGAAGCGAAAGCCAAAAAAGAACTAGACAAATGGAGAAACATCACAAAAGTTTAATACAACCTTCCTCCAAAGTACTGATAAAATCAACGAATTCAATACAGCTCTCTCAGAAACAGATTATAAGCCTTACGAGAACTAATCAAAGAAAAATAAACTACCACGGAGAACACCTGAAAAAGAATTAAAGAAGTATTAACTTCAAAATTCCAGGAGATGCTGTACCGGGAGAAGCAGCAGCAAAAACAATGGATCTCTATGGATACCCTGGCCAGAATTTAAGAAAGGAAGAAAAAGAGGATAGAAATGAACAACAGTCAAAAAACAACAACAGACAAGAGAAGGCACAAAAAAACAAGCGAGTGAAGAGGAACATTAGAGCAGACAATCAGAAATACTTGAAAGATCGAGCAATGACAGCGGAAAAAGCTATAACAGTAGGGGAAGCGTCAGATAACTATACGATATAACGGAGAGTAGCAGGACCAGATAAAATATTAGCTGAAACAATGAATCCAGATATAAAAGCGACTGCAAATATGCTCCACATTCTGTTAAAAAAGTGTTGGGAGAAAGAATAAGTCCCAAAAGATGAGAAAAAAGCATATCCCATCAACATACAAAAGGAAGGAAATCTCAGCAAGTGTGAGAACTACACAGGCATCACACTACTACTGGTATCAGGAAACATATTCAGTCAGTCAGTCAGTCACAACGTAGAACTTCGTACGTACGTACATCAGTTCGAGTTGCCATACCACATTAGCACAGAGATGCAGTTGTCGATTCAAATCCCATAGTGGTAGAAGTAGTAGGAGTATAATCAGAAATCCAAAAGATTAGGGTTTGAAGAAATTATTGAAGGAGTATAGTACAGTGAAATAAATTTGGAAAGAGAAAAACATAAAGACACGAGGAATTCAGAAGATTAGAATTTGGTAGAACACAAAGAGTGGATGCATCTTCGCCATTGCAAACGATTTTGAGCCATGTCATTCAAGGTCTCTAACCATCGGTTGCTGTCATCTCGCGAATCCCAACCAGGTAATCTACACCTACCAACATGGCCCAGTCCACTTGTCAGTGACTTCATTGATTTCTGCCACGTTTTGGTCTGGCCGCCCATAGCTTTCTTCCAACCTACTCCTACACCATGAAACATTGCACGTCGGGGCAGTCGGTGGTCGGGCATACGTAACACATGTCCCAGCCATCTCAACTGATGAAGTTTCACTACTTCATCAATCGATTTGCCATCCCTACCTAGTACTCGTTTCCTAACAACTGCATTACTTACCCGGTGGTCCCAGGATACACGAGCAATGCTTCGAAGACACCTATGATCGAACACTAGTAGCCTACGAATATCCTCTACTCTTATTGGCCATGTTTCACTGCCATAGAGTAAAAACATATTCAACACAATATTGTTGAACCAAATGAAAGATTCAGTAGACCCTCAGCTGCGAGATCAACAAACCGGATTCCGTAGGCATCGGTCGTTCACAGAACAAATCGCGACACCACGAATCATCGTTGAACAATCAATTGGGTGGAACGTATTACTGTACGTCAAATTCTTTGATTATGATAAAACTTTCGACAGTGTGGCAGGAAAACATTATGGAACTCTCTACGACACTATGGTGTACCTGAGAAGATTGTCAACATCATTCCGAATTCATACGACGGACTACACTGCAAAGTCGTGAATGGAGAACGGCTAACAGACGCACTCTAAGTGAGGATCGGTGTCAGACAGGGCTGCTTACTGTCTCTCGTACTTTCTCTCTCTTCTCGTGGTTAATTAGGTTATGAAGACCTATACATCTGAGGGGAAGCACGGAATACAATGCACAGATTGCATGCAACTAGATAATTCAGACTTCACAGATAACCTGATCCTTCTATCCCATACACAGCAACAAATGCAGCTCAACACAAACAGTGTAGCGGCAACATCTGCATCAGTAGGCCTCAACATACACAAACGAAAAAACAAAATCCTCAAATACAACATGGAGAACACCAAGCAAGTCACACTTGATCGAGAAACTCTAGAAGAGGTGGAAGTTTTCAAGCTCCAGCTTGGAATCTTGAAGGGAAACGAAAATAGGTAGACTTAAATTCACGTCACGCAAAGAATTGGAGGCAGACATAAAAAATGAACAGCACTTGTCAACTAGTGGAAAGGAGAAGCCAGGACAGAGTTGGTTGGAGATTGTTGGTTGGCGGCCTTTGCTCCACCAGCTGTAATAAACGTTAGTGAGTGGATCTTATTTATATCATTAATGAATATTAAGAGCTAAGTGGACTGATACATAGTTATTCTTCATTAAGAATTCGTATTATAAATACAATTGCGTATCAATCTGCATAATTTATACAAATGGGTAAATAAATACACATGCGGATTTCTGAGTAATCTAACTTTATCATTACAGAACTAAAACAAGTGTATTATTTTTATTATTGGAATGTGTCTCGAGAGTTGGGGTGGGGGTGACATGTTGATAAAACCCGATTATGTGTACACGGTAGATTACAGTTGGATGACATTGGGTAGATATAACTCAGTAACTACGCAAACGTTAATGGATTTGAGTTAAAGACATACTGTGCATTTTCTAGTGTTAGTACCTGACTTTCTAAACCGATATAAGTGAAATACTAAATCACAATCGTACGGTTGAAAGTCTAGTATTTACAGTAATTTCTAACTAATAACAGCAGGAAGTCTGTATTTTATAAACTTATGATCCTAAAAGCTACTTGCAAAAAACAAAATTAATCTGAAGCAGTTTGACTTTTATTCAGAGAGAAGAGTAATGGAACAAGTAAAAATATATGAATTATATTAAATGTTAACATCATATATCTATGAACTCACGCTTTTTAGGAGGAACAAGATACACATCGTCAGGTTCTTTATGGACAACATCATTAAATACTGGACAAATATGAGCTTGTGGAAGAAATGTTGACTTATAACCCTTTGGTGAATAATCAAAAATATTCATGGAAGTATTACTTGACTCAATATGTGGCTTTTGAAGAAAACGATGTGAATCTGAGTTATTGAAACGAATGCTATGACAATTCGTGTACGGATGATAATGACCGCGATTTGGAAATTTAGGCATTTTTATATTATTGCGTAGATTATAGTTAAATGGATTCCTCTGATTTTGACATTGTTTAGAAAAACTGAATAGTTTATTGGGTAAAATTTGTTTGAATGCCTAAAGTAATTTAACAAGAATTTCAGTTGGGATTATTGTTGCTAGAAATGTGAAAAACAAATTCCTAATACAAAATGAGTAAAACAGAAAACTGAAGGATTTTCCTAAAGAAAAATAGAAGTTAAAACGACATATTATTGCGAAAGATTGCTGCATATTGACTGTATGTCCCGTCTGAATTAAATGCGTTAAAATGGAACTATTAACCGTTTTAACTACACCTTTGCCTAACCACACTGGGAGGTGCTCACGAGCCCAAATATACAAATTCTTAGAGCATCTGCCAATATAACTTGCTGCACAGGAAAAGTTGAATTGATAGATACAAAAAGAAGTGGCTAGTCTAGGCAATTTATTTTCCAAATTCAGAGTGATCATTGGACGTGTGTAGTTTACCTGCATTAAAAGTTCTTTGTATTGATCTGCATAACTTCCGTCTTAGCATTTCACTAGGCGCATCGCCTCTGAATTGTACGCGTATATACAGAGGTTTTTAATTCACGTTTAGGCATTCTTTCATTGGCTATGTTTTTATTTATGAATTTCTCCAGATATCCGTTTTCTTTCAGGGTAGTTTACAATGCCTTTGTTTCATCTTCGACCGCATCTAGAGAGAATATGGTTTTCATTCTATGATGTAGTGTCTTAATCATGTTCCTTTTGTATTGTAAAGGAACAAAACCAAGAAAGTTTGTATAATCGCCCATCTAAGTAGTTTTCTTGTTTATGATTCTTCTTAATGACCTGTCTTTTATCCTTGTTAGTAGAACATCTAGAAAGGCCATTCTACCTCCATTTTCTTACTCACATGTGAATTTTATGGACGGATGAACTGTATTGAATCGCTCAAGTGTTTCTATCAAGCCAGTATAGTCGTTACAAAGGATAAACGTATCGTCCATATACCGGCAGCAAAATGAAACTTTCCAATCTGTTGTGCTAGTGGGCCGTGTTCTAGTTTAGAGAGAAAAATATCATCCAATATGGGACCTAGGAGTGAACCTAATGAGACACCATATATTTGTTTAAAGATTTTGCCATTGAATTTGAAATGCACATTCAGAGTACATTTAAGTAGTAATCCTTTGATGGTCTCGCCAGGGATTTTAGTTTCTATTTCTTGTTTTAATAAATAATTTATCTAGACAGTTAGTTCCTGAAATCCTGAATTCACGAAAAAAACCCACAAACGAAAAGAAATTATTTGGGTAAAGCTATTCTTCGAACTTTCATTGACAAATGTTTCAAAATGTAAAACATGCTCCACGCCATTATCATGAACATACACTCAGATAAACGGAAAGTAATACGATATGTGTGAATGATATTTACTATTGTTTAGGTTGCAATATATTATATATATTTTAGTAAACTTAAAAGCCTGATTTTATTAGCTGTTATCAGTAGTAATACCAACATACTGATGTTAACTATGAGTAATACAGATGAAAGAGAAGTGTGGTATAGTGTTATCAGATTATTTTTAATTACTGAAGAAACAGATTCAAGCTAATTACCAATTGAACTCGAAAAAGTAATGACCATACAGTAAGCTTTTGTACAAAAAAGTCACTGTATGATTAAAGTCAATCTATAAAATAACTTTTAATTCTCAATAAACACTGATATAGATTTATTGGGTAAAAGTAGTTTACATGCTCTTATATATGCTACTCACAATTTATTCCCTAAAGTGCTACAAATCAGTAAAAAGAACTGCCAACAATAATAAACAAGCAGGTAATAACCACTGTAGTATTTTAAATAACGTAAGTTGAATTAATAATTTATTGGGTTGATCAAGCGAATCCGAAAACATTTATATTGGTACTTCAAATAATGAATGATTTGTCTGTTTTTATCTTCCCACACAGTTGTATCTATAATGATAAAATGTCGATTTCAATGTATATAGAACTATATTCAAATACTTTAAGTCTTGGGAACTGATAAGGATATATTAAATATAATTTGTAATGTCTTATTGCTTCCATTCAATACTGCAAATGATCAGTCTCTATTGAAATATGTGCATCCTTAGTGGATTGCCTTGATATCGCCATTCAATTATAAGTTCTAGTAAAGTTAGATTGTGGTTAGCTGCGGGATTTGTAAGGCGTGTTTCTTCGTGTTTGTGACTTGTTAGCTGAACGTACTTGGGTTTGGTGTTCACAGTGAGACTCGAAATCAGTACTTTTCATTACAAATACCAATGTATTATCCACTATTAGACTACTGAGTTCACATAACAACTGATTTGCTCGAAGTGTATGAATATAACAGTTTATATACCAGTTTGATGTGTACTGACTGTATAGACTTCGAAACTTGAATCTTAAAGATATGTTGAATATGAATTTTGCAATACCATAGAATAGTGAATAAACTTACTTGACTTGTTGACTGTGATTCCACATTACAACTAACTATAGGATTCATCCTAGAATCCGTTTTAGTTGTCGAACATGAATTACCAAACTTATTATACATTACATCTTGGAGTGAAGACGAACTATGGGTACACAATTTAGTAGTTGAACAAGATAAATTTGTAATATTTTTCTTCGTTAAATCAGAAATAGTATTAGTAAGATTAGCGACAACAGAATGTTTAGAATGATTGAACAAATGATGGTCATCTGATTTCATTTTCAGTCCGATTGTGCTCAAAGTGAAACCTTCTTGATCATTTGTAATATGTATGTTCTTTTCTGGTGATGTAGTAACATAACTTTGAAAATGTTGAGAGGGTGATAAAGAAATGGATGAATTAAATGATGATCCAGACGATATTTCCTTTTCACTAGATGGTGAAGATGATGAAATCAATTCATCCAATTGATTTGGTTCATCTGACGGGAATATAGAATAGCCTAAATTAAATATAATAGCGAACAAATAGTCAATTTTATTTCTACATTTTCTAGAATAAAAGATATTTTCTAGAAGAAAAATTATTGAAGTAGCTAGAACCTGAGAATCCAATTGAAGCTAGGATATAGTCATTAAGAGACTGCTTTATTTTAATTTGGAACTTTTCAAAAGAACTCACTACTATTTCAGATCTAACATCTAACTCCAAAAAATCCAATCGAGAAACTTGACCCGTAATGTTATTTGATTTAAAAGTAATAAATATTTCTTGATATCATAAATTGAAAAACCACAATCTTGATTCAATGAGCGGACGCGAGAGTTCTAGTTGTGTTTGCAATAGTTGCTTACACAAGATTGATGGCATAAAAAATATACTTCGTATAACTCATATCTAGACATAACTGATTAATGTGAAACAGTGTAGTACAGTTTCTTATACTTGAGATGAATGGTATTTGTGTATACTAAATAGTGTATAATGTTTAGAACATAAAGGAAAGAGAAAGTCACAGTGATCATAAGACGAAGATTTGTTTACTACAGGTATTATTTTTACTTAACATACACAAAGATGTGGTTAAAAAACAAAGAATGTGAAAATATAGTATTGAAGTTTATCATTTCATCACATATCGCTAGAGGGAGATTTCAAAATGGAAGTTAGCATATAGGTGGTTCAATTATTCGACTCTGATAATCACTGATTTAATATACGATTCATATTGCTTCATACTAGTCACTTTGATAGAACAATAAAACAGCAATTAGACAGGATGGAACACAACTAACTCGGTAGAAAACAATCATTGTGTAGACTAGTGTCTGTCTATATGGTAAGAAAAAAATGAAATAAATAGCAGTTAGTTTCAATTAATTCATCCATTGGGCATTTGGGTATGTATGAACTATTGAAACTACCTGGTTGCTTAAACCGAAGGTGGAGTGAAGTTCTAACCTAAAATCTTGAGGTTGAATATCGAACGCCTAAACCACTAGGCCACTGCTACATTCTAGTAGGACACGAAGAAAAAAACATGTCCAGTGTCATGTAATAACTTTTAATATTCCTGTTGTGAATGGGTAAAAACACAAATTTTGAAACAGACTTTTTTTAGAAATATACGAAAACCGTAAATTTTGTAGGAAAGCAGCTGACTAACCTTGAACATAGGATGATGCTGGAACTGAGAAGCATTGTGATTCATATGAATCAGACACAAAATCAGTAGTTTCATACTTATATTTCGTTTTATTATTATCATTATTATTAATATCACTATTATTATTAGACTTTGTCATGAGGTCTTGTTGACTAGTTGGTGTTGTTGTTGTCAATAATTGAGATGTATATATTGATGAATCAGACGTAGAGTCATTATATCCATGTAAATGTTCACAGTTGATTAACTCGAATTGAGGTTGTTTGACAACATTGAGTTGATTAGATATCTCTTTTTCAAAAGTCACTGAACTTTCCGATAAATCATTGCAATAATAGAAACTGTTGAAAAGGTAAATTGTTATTTTTTAGAAAAAGACTACACGAATTTCAAAAAAGAAAGAAATTAATAATATGAAATATGAGAAAGGGAAGTGTTTTGTTCACTATGATACCACACATACATATTTAAAATGAATTCAATCTAAATTTCATTGTATATTTTAACCTGAATTTTGTTCTGTCATGTTTACTCAGTTTAACCTAAATATATACGCAGTTTATTCGATTATATACTAATATATAGCATTCTGTTTATCTTACTGAGAAGTATTGTCATTTCGTTGCATTTATGAACTCTTTATGACAATGTATATTTGTGTGGATAAATATAATCAATTATAACTTGAACAAAATTGTTAAACAGTGTGAGAAGACGAATACTCTAGTATAACTACTACTAATGTAGGAACAAACCACTGGTAGGAGTGTTTATCTAGTGAAATTATTCTACATATCCCCAAAATTACAGAACGTTTATGCAATATATACACTTAGTCTTCAGTCAACCATTTGCATTTTGTTGTGTGTTCTATAATTCAAGCTGATTATAGATTGTCTTCTCTCGCGATCTCCAAAGTATTCTGCATACGCTGTTCTTTTAAACCTCCTGAAACTCTTTTCTATGGGTTTCGACTATAGTAACTTCCACGCGACGTCCCGATACATAACATTTATAAGCCATATTGTAAGTAACATTCATCACATTGTTACTACCATTAGTTCACAAATTTACTTTAACATTTAACGTAAACATGCAACAGTTTTTAATCCAAATTACATAAATTTTAATTTTTTATAGATTGATTAAGATCTAATCTAAGGAATTCAGACTAGATGGTGTCTATACCGACTAGTTTCAACTATATTATATTAACAATAATATACAAAAAGTTAACTGATTATTATAGTAAAAAGTTAGCCAAAATTCTATTTATATTGAATTGTAAATTAGGTTACATAGGTAAAATAGAATGGAAGAATCAATATAGAAAAAGATTAGAAATTCTGAATCATAAAACTTAATTAATAAACTAAAGTCATTATATATTTTAATGTAATAAGAAGAATGAGTTTCATTATTATGAAAGTTTTAAAGAAAACGGATATCAACAAAAGAATATATGATATTGATCGGTGAATAATAATTTGAAATTTGAAATAATGACTTTTTGAATATGAATTTTTAGAGAGTTGAACAAGATTTAATTGTATTATTTATTTATTTAAACACATAAATATTCGGACAAGAAGGCATCATATATATATATATATATATATATATATATATGCGCCACACGATTTAATTGACCCTGCTTCGGTCTGGGCAACCGGACAGTATCACAGCCCACATACAAATAAATGAAATGAATTAATTGTATAAATGTTTCATGAAAATAATAATTTCACTGTTATTTATCATTAAAAAATATACCAATAATTAAGTATCATTATTAAGGTTTAACTTAATTGTTATAATTTGTTTTTGCTAATAAATGACCCAGCTAGTCCTATTGCTTAGTATTCTTATACAATAACACTCAACAAGACCCCCAAAATCAGAACACTTTGAACATGAATCAAATTGTATTCAAAATAACAATGGTATGTGAACAGTAATCAATTGTTAGAAAAACGTTCATATATTTATAGTATATACATAAGAAGCTTCTAGATTTTTCTCCAATAATTTGCCAGAGCTGATTGGTTTAGAATTAGCCAATCAGCGTGCACTGACACAATCATGCACATAACATGCATTAATCCGGTTCATTTCCCAATAACATTAATAATTTTGAATAAATTAAGCATTGAGTAAATTGTTATGAATATTATTTTATTTACATGAATAAATATTTCGAAAAATTGTAGGTATCGTTAACAAGTTTTGATTTGATAATTTTGAATAAATTTGAGCATCGGGTAAATAAACAATATATTTGTTATATTCCAATGAGTATAAAAAAAATAGATTTTCTAACGTTTCGTAACTCAGTTTGAGCTACTTCTTCAGAGAACAAATAACCAAGAAGTGACCTACACTGAGTCACATCAGTCAGTAAGCTACAACGTAGGATCAGGCACACATATGCATCGGTTCAAGTTGGCATACCTGAGTCATGAAACGTCAGAAAATCGAATTTTTTTCTACTCATTGGGATATTACCAATATATTAATGATTTATTTCGAAAAATTATTTGAACTTTTCTTTTATATAATAACAAAAAAACTAGAAATCGAATAAATAACACGGATTCATTACAATTAGTTAATTTTATTGAAGAAATTCTTTCATCTTCATTTGTAGAAAAAAAATTTTGTTGTTGAAAATAATGAATGAACCTATTCCACGTGAAAACATAGTCTATGATTGTGACAATAACGAATAAACAAGCAAATAAAAAAACAAACAAAAAAATAATGGTCTTATCCGAAAAATTAAGTCACACGTTATCATTTAATAAAAAAAATAATTTCATATGAATAATTCAATATGAAATAACAAGAAGTAACATTGATTATTTTCCTCTGGTTTGTTGTCGTTTTTGGTTTTTTTTTCTCTCTCTCTCTCTCTGTCTCTCTGCTTTAAAAAAAGGTGTGTTCTATGTAGTTCTTCTTCAAAATACCATATTTTAATTAGAAAGAACGAAAAATATGTAGAAAATGATCAAACATGTCACCTGTTAAGTTTAAATTAGATAGAATTATAATGGAAGTAATGAAAACGATGTACAAGTAAAGGTTAAAGTATTATGAAAAAAAGGAAAAGAAAATGAATTGTTTGTGAAAAATGTCACGCTATAAATGCTAAATATATGGTGAATTTTTTTGTTTTTACGTTTCTGTTTAAGATGTAAAAATATAAACTAAGCGAAATAAACGAATTATAAACTTGTACTCTAATATAATTTCTATGTTTTGGAAAGTGTTTAGTGTACTTAAATATTACACAATGTGTGACTTACAAACGATAAGTTGCTTTTAATTTATATTTTAATAGTTGGGGTCATGAGTCAATTGAAGCTAGACCAACATGGAAAACCTGGAAGCACTAGATGGTTGTTTCGTCCTATTATGGAACTCCTCAGCGAGGTGCATCCTTTGTTCCGCCTCGCGAGAATAGAACCCAGGACCTAACAGTCTCGCGCGCGAGCGCTTAACCTCCAGACCACTGAGCCGGCCAGCATCTAACGGTGTTAATGTCTAACTTCAACCAATCCACGAAATTGAACGACACATCCATTATTGTCTTCACTGAGTTACGATCTCGCCACAGACTAGGTTGAACTTCACCGGTCACTGCTTCTCACTAGAACTCCAGGAAATACCTCTTGAAGTCAGTCACCAGTGAGCATATGTTGATAAATATCAAATGCCAGCTCAGTGGTCTACAGGTCAAGCGCTCGCGCGCGAAACTGATAGATCCTAGGTTTGAATCTCGCGAAGCTGGATCGTGGATGCACACTGATGAGGAGTTAAGCCAATAGATTATTAGTGTATTTAAGATTTTCATTAAGATATCCAAAAGCATAAATTCACAAAAATCGTTTCAAATTACGTTGTAACTCTCGGATTTCTTAGCCTACACAAATGGGACGTTAATTTACTTTAGACGAATCCCTAAAATAGATTCCCTCCCAGTATCTATTCAACAGGAATTAAACACAACTCAGATCAAGAACACGTGACTAGCCTGACTAGAACGTAAATATATTTCCACACCAAAAACCGACACAATAATAATAAGGATCGAATATACAACTCATCTAACACTTGTCAGACTATATCAAAGTCTGACTAAACAAACAACCAATCATTATCACTCTCGCCCACACACCAAATGACTTGGTCAGCAAGTCTCCGCACTAATACGTCAGTTCCTCAGTTAAGAATAAAAATAATACCAACCACCATTTATTTTGTATTGATTTTATTCTTAAATATTAAAATTATATAATTGTATAGCGTTAATGAGGAAATGACTGAAAAGAAATATTCATTCGCCCAACTTGTATTCTTAACTCGTTACTATAATTGATTCAGCTTTTACTCCCATTAGTTTTTTATTTATTTATTAAAACACATATATATTGGTACAAAAGGGCACCAGGTACATATGCGCCACACAAAATAATGAAAGTAGGAAGAGAAGAGATGAAAAGATAAGGCGGGCTGAAATGTACAACCAGAAGACTCTTTCAGTTAGGAAAGTTAGAACCATTCTTTATGTAGAAAGTAAAAGAAGGTTGCAGCAGGATCGCCACTGGCTTCTATTCTGAGCCATATCTGATAACGTCTCTAGCCACTGTGTTGCACTATCTCTCGGACCCCAACCAGGGAGTCGTGAAGGACCAACAGAAGCTAGCCCTTTGCAGCTCTCTTTCATGCCACGACACCATGTCATACACTGACCTCCTCTCCGCTTTTTCCAACCAGTCCCAGGGTCGGCAAATAATGCACGACGTGGAAGTCTCTGGGACGACATTCGTAAAACATCTCCAAGCCACCGAAGTCGGTGTTTCAAGATGGTGACACCGATTGGATTATCGTCTCTGCGCCCGAACACACGATGCCGAACCTCTGCATTACTAACATGGTGTTGCCACTGGATGTCAGCAATCCTTCGGAGACAACGATGATCGAACACAGAGAGACGTCTAACATCCTCAACTCGGAGAGGTCAGGTTTCACAAGCATAGAGTAAAACTGCTTTCATCGACGCGTTGTAGATCCGACCTTTCACAGCCAGACTAACATCACGAAGGCGCCAAAGATGGCCCAGATTGGCATAAGCCGCTCTGGCTTTCATTATACGTGCATCAATCTCATCACTCACGCTACCACTAGCACTTATATAGCTACCTAGATACACAAACTTCTCAACTACTTCGATCTCCTCACCATCCAGGGTGAGTACAGGATGAGAATCCTGCCAGTCTTGTAGGAGTACTTTGCACTTGGAGGGTGCAAAGCACATGCCGTACCTGCGGACACTGATTGCCAACTGATTAAGTGCTGATTGCATGCCTTGGGCATTATCGCACAGTAAGACAATATCATCCGCATACTCAAGGTCGAGAAGTCGTTCTCCAGGCAACATATCTACACCGCCATTACTTACATCCATCAGAGCTGTTTCCAGGATGTCGTCGATGGCAAAGTTGAAGAGGAATGGTGAGATCGGGCAACCCTGCCTAACCCTACTGCTCGAATGAAACAAGGGAGGAAGGTGGTAGTATGACCTCACTCTGCCTGAGGTGTTCGTATACAGTGCCTTTAAGATGTTAATGAACTTCTCAGGCACGCCCTTTTTCAATAGATAACCCCAGAGAACAGTCCTGTCCAACGAATCGAAGGCCGCCCTGATATCAAGAAACACTACGATTGTTGGCCTGCGATAAGTATGACGGTGTTCTAACATTTGGCGGAGGGTGAAGATGTGATCAATGCATCCTCGACCAGAACGAAAACCAGCCTGCTCCTCGCGAGTCAATCGTTCTCGGGTTTTAAACAACCTACGAAGAATGATAGAAGCCAATAGTTTGGACGCAATCGAAAGTAGATTTATCCCCCGATAGTTATTGCAGGAACAACGTGAACCCTTTTTAAAGATAGGGACGACTATTGACTCATTCCATGATTTTGGAACACTTTCTTGTTCCCAAACCTTTCCAAACAACACAGTCAATTCCTTAGTCAGAAGGTCACCACCATCTTTAAAAAGAGCCGGAGGTAAGTCATCTGGGCCCGGTGATTTATAACGTTTCGAGAGTTGGAGTTCCTTGCGGACTTCCGCCTCGTTTGGTGGATCAGTCGTCCCCGGCCATGGGGGGCAGGACAATATGATCGATGTTTTCGGAACAGCAGGCCAGTTGAACTGCCCTTCGAAAAATTCCGCCCATCGTCCAAGACGTCGAGAGATATTAGTGATTGGCATCCCATCATCCTCGTAGATTGTTTCACTCACACCAGACTTCTTGCTGCCAGTGGCTCGGATGAGTTGGAAGAGCTTCCGGCAGTTACCAGATGCAGCTGCTGCTTCCATCTCATTAGCACGCTCCGACCACCAGGCTTCTCGGTCCTTACGCAAGCTTTGCCCGATTTCATTACGTAACAGCCTTCGTTTGTGGTCAAACTCACGGTCACCCGGAGTAGACCGACGGGCTTCCATCAGTTGTAAGGAGCCAGAAGAAACCCAGTGCTTGTAAGCGGGACGTTTCGCGAAGCCGCAAGCGGCTTTACACGCCATTTTCATGGCGTCGTGAAGAAGCAACCAATGCTCATCTATACTTTTCGGTGGGGTGGTAGCTAGCCTAGAGGCTAGCTCCGCTCGATACTTACTTGCAACAGAAGTTGCAGTCAATTTACTAACATCAATCCGTTGGTGGTGGTCAATCCTTCGGCAACTGAAAAGTAAGGTGAGATTGGCGCAGACCAGGGGTAAAAGATACATCAATCATTTAGAAGCAAGTGTAGTACCAGTGGAATTAGGAAAGGAAGAGAGTAATATTAACAGATAATGATTTTAGCTGATATATACTGAGGATATTTTTGCTGATAATTTTTTTATATAAAAAGTAATTATTTCAAATACTTCAAAATGAGAAACAACAACAAGACATTGTGTAATGAACAGGAGTATCACGTCATGAAAGACAAAACAAATAATCAGAACTACAAAAACTACTACTAATAACAGTTATAATGACACTTTCGATGATGCACTGAGAAGACGAAGGTTGTCAGAATTATGTGATATATTAGCACAATACATTTTGATAAATCTGATCACAAATATACTACTGTTAGCGGGACATAGATTGAATTAAAGCATGTTTCATGCATGATGGTGTTGCTGCGCGCGGATTGGTTAATTCTAAACCGATCAGCCCGGGCAAATTATTGGAGAAAAATCTAGAAGCTTCTTATGTATATACTATAAATATATGAACGTTTTTCTAACAATTGATTACAGTTCACATACCATTGTTATTTTGAATACAATTTCATTCCTGTTCAAAGTGTTCTGATTTTGGGGGTCTTGTTGAGTGTTATTGTATAAGAATACTAAGCGATAGGACTAGCTGGGTCATTTATTAGCAAAAACAAATTATAACAACTTCTTACGACATTTTATACGAAAAATAAAGAGTAAAATAGACAAATTAAAAATTATGTGTGTAATCAGATTGTTCTAAATGTGCGCGAATATATAACATATTTCTGATAATCTTCGTCCATTAAATGGACTAAATGTTTTAAAATAATGATAGTGTTAGCAAAAAGATTTCGAAAGGGATTAAACTGTAATCATGTAGATACATAGCTGTCTACGATGTTTTGTTTGTCCTACCTTTAATTAATAATAATTAAAGCCTTCTCGTGGCGGGGGTGTTTTTTACGAAATTGAGAGAACGAAAAGCAAATGTCCGGCGCTTTAACCGGGTTGGTGGACACATAGGGTTTACCTAGAAAAGTTGGAAAACCCTGATTCTGAACCAGTGATGCACTAGGGCTATAGTATCCTGAGGGAACAAACGACGTATGAATCAATCGTTGGTCACCGGCTACCATGGGACTGTATCTCCTCACGATGCTCCACTGCCTTGTGGATCAGACCTTTAGGTCAAAGTCTCCGGGTGTGGCTCCCTAAGAAATCAAACCAGCTTTGACCTGGGTACCCGGGCAGTATCACAGCCCTCAAACAAATCTAATGAGATAATTAAACGATAATTCAGCATACCATACATAACATAAACATAGACTAATATTTTACAAAACAGAATTAGCTATAAATGCAAATGTAAAGCTTAAATAAATGAAATCGTCGAAAATAAGATTTTCTTCGTTGAATTAACTTAATCTTCAATGACACCGTGTATTTCTTTCGTTACTTGTGATCAAGTTGACGACTTTTTGCTATTGCCATAAAAATTAGTTGCAATTGACTTAGTTGTTTAACGTATATGATATCAACAGTGGAGGATGAGCATTACATAGTCTTCTAAACTCCTATAATTTGGTTCAATTACAACAAAGTATCTAACCGGAATCGACAACTGTCAAAATTAGAACAGGGTGCTAAGATCATAATAAAATAGAAATTAAACATATCGGAAGGGGTTTTGTGGAGATTTAGTATTTTCATAGTTGAAAGCGTGAGTCAATTGAAGCTAGACTACCAGGGAAAACCTGGAAGCATTGGACGGCCGTTTCATCCTATTGTGGGATTCCTCAGCAGTGCCATAAACACCATCGGATCCTGACTTAATGGTCTATCGGTTAAGTGCTCTGGCGTGAGACTGGTAGGTCCTGGGTTCGAATCTCTCGAGGCGAGGTCTTAGATGCGCACTGCTGAGGAGTCCCACAATAGGACGAAACGGCCGTCCAATGCTTCCAGGTTTTCCCTGGTAGTTTAGCTTCAATTAACTCACGCTTTCAACTATTAAACATATCTCTTTTAAAACATAAAAATCAAGTTCCATTTGGTTAATTATTAAAGTTTCAATGATGCACAGATTTCTGAACCAAACTTTAACATTTGATACAATAAATTCACATAAACATACGATAACTATCAAATAATTAATTATGAAATAATAACTTACTGTGATAATTGATGACAACAAACCAATAATTCTGAAGATGTACATTTATCAAAAGAATTTAATTTATCAAAATTTCCTGATTCAGATGATGAAAAATATTTATCATTCTTTATCATATAATGTTCATTAAAATTCATACAATAACTTGATATTTCATTGATTGGATATTGATAATTATTTAATCGATTATTTGTAGATATTGATGATGTATTTGACAAATGATAATATGATTGTTTACAATAAAAAATTAACATACGAGCCCAACAATATTTTTCACATTTTAATCGTAATCGATAAAATGAAGTGACCACTGGTTGATTTTCATTTACTAAAATTGTTTCAATGTTTGTTTTTTTCGTTATTTTTTGTTGGAAAAAAAGAAACAATAAAAATAAAAAATATATATACATTCATGCCGAAGAAATGACAAATGATATAGAACAACTGATTAATTGATTGTTGAACATTAAGTAAAACAAAAAAAAACTACGCATTGTTCCTAATTCGCTAATTGATTTAACCATTTTCATTTGAGTTTTAGCATTACTTTATTCTCCTTTATAGATGAGGTTCTAACAGACTATTCAGTTACTTCAATAATTCCAAAAGTAGAAAAAACAACAACAAATATTTGTACTGGTATTTTATTTGAAAATATATCTATCATGTATTTCAGTTCACATGTGATTGGTTTGATTTCATTGAGGGTTGGGAGGGGGACGGGGAATCGAGGTAGGATCATAGTTGAACAATGATAAATAGGAATTTCAGTAAAAATAGTAGTAAGGATAGAAACACGATACTGTATTTTATGTTGAAATAAACCATTTTGATGTTAGAGTTGAACGGATGCGTTTACATGTTTTACAAATTTCGAGTATGGTAAAGCTTAAAAACTGGTTGTGCAAGATGTGTGTTGAGATCCCTTGTGTTTCAATAGAACAAAACTCTTAAGAATCAGGAGGAAAGCTGAAAACATTTTGTTCAATCAGAATCAAGTGGAAACTTGCCAGAAAATTATAGAAGAATAAATGAATGTGTTACATCCTTAGTGGATAATCACCTATGTGGCCACTAAGTTGTGTTTCCAGCAGCTTCCAAACAGTTAGGGCTACCTACAAACCTACAAATACCCTTATTTACTGTACATAAACTACGCTTGGAAATAAAGCTTCATTTTACAAATTCTGCTTTATCTTTGCTGTTCAGAATCCAAGCATAGAAGAATTAATAAACCGTTAGGAAGTCGCTGTCTAGCATCTGAGTGCCACATTTATTGTGTTGTTGGAAAAAATGAATTTTAATTAATTTGAAAATTTTCTAGCCAACCAGCAATACATTATATTTAACCATTTAATAAGCCAGATAGAAACTTTCAATCTTATGTTTGTATATCATAGAGTATCCTATTATGGATATGAATAATTCCAGAAAAATTCAAAAATCCAAACAATCCAATACTACTAATTCAAGATTCCCTATCGGGCATAGGTCAATAATGGAAAGAAATATACTAATAGGAATTAAAAGTAAACCTGTAAAATTACGCTTATCATTCACCAAATACAGATTTGTGTAGTCGTCTATGAGCATCGGAAATTTTGTATAAGGTCTGAATGATTTCAACTCAGCTACTTGAAACAGAGTGGAGGTCGGGTTAAAATATGCCACTTAATAACTATAAGTCACTCGCTCTAATCTAACAACTTTATATATATATATATATATATATATATATATATATATAGGCAATAAGCAGTTATCGAGACCATGGATGCAAAGTTTTTCATATAAATAAATACAAACGATTATGACGTCATTACCTAAAAGTACGACAAAAACAATGACGAGAATCTGAAACAAGTTTACAAACTATGACGTTTACACTAGAAATTTCATTCTGCCATTCTCTATTGCATCATTCAATTGGACATAAAATAATCATGGTAATAATAATAGATATTTGATTTAATCAGAAAATTAATTTGAACGCACTAAACAATAATTTTAAATTATATTAGTACAAAGATGAGATGACCTTGTTTGATCGGACCGAAATAATAATAATATACAACAGCTAGCTATATATCGAGTTTCAGGGGAAAGGAAATCACACATTTATAATAGACGATAAAAGATTTAATAAGGAATCAAAGAACATTGAATACTTTCCTTCTGCTTGAAAACAGAAGTATTCAGTAGCGAATTGATTAAATCCAACAACAATATCTGACGACTACATAACCATCATCGTTATCTAACCAGTTTAGTTTAAAATTCATTAGTTCATTTTGAGGTTAAATTCGATAACTAAGACAGTGATTACTGAACACTATTATGGATTGAAAAGGTGACCAAGGATAAAACACAGTTTATTTTCGTTAAACATTTAATGATAACTTCATATGTTACATTTAGTTATATTGTGAGGGAACAATTAATTGCGTCCTAATCTAACTGAAATAACTGTTATAAGAAAAAAAACTCTGACCTAGTATAGGTATTAAATATGTTAATGAATTTTCACATAAATAAAAGGGTACTGAATACACTAAAATATTCTCTGATATAACAATCTGTTACAGTTGACTAATAAGAACATTTTCGATTCAATGGTACATTTTAGATTGATCAACTGATTGTCAAATAAATATACAATTAAATCCTAATAACAGTCAATCAAGTCGTTTTACTAAAAGCAAGAAATAAATGTTTACTGTTTGATTAGAAATTTGTTTATTGATTTATGTACATTGAAGCTGTGTAATTCAGTGTAAATTAATGTTCTTCTCCAATATTAACTGGTTGCAAAACAGATCGAAAAAACTATCTGGTATTTTTGGGCTTTCAAATGCTTTCCCATGATCAAACCCTATTCATGATTACAATTATTTCAATAAATATTGGACATCACAAGAGACGTATAACGAGAATAATTATTTGTAAGGGTTTATGTTCTCTCACTAAATAGTGTATACTGATGAATTGTTTTGAGTCGAATGAACAAACCTCTTGATAAATCCCGTTAGTACTGTTTAAAAGCTATCATCTTGATAGCGTCTAGTTTGGTGTACACAAAAAAGCAATGAAACGTTCGGAGATAAACAATTCAATACAGAGAATTCGATACCAACAAGGGCATCTATTTAAACTAAACGAAAATATCCTGTCACTGCGATCAATCTAAATATATACAAATATTTAAACTGTAAATTTAAGAAATCCTTAAGAGAATTAGTAAAGAGTACTGATACGCAAAGATAAGCACAAACACCTCAACGAGTAAATACCAATTCGAAAAGTAACCTAATTTACTGGTGTTATTAAAAATTTCTTCATTTAATAAAGAGTTTATTTATGACAGTTACTGATTCATTTATCTATCCTACATTAAAATCCCTTTCAATCTGCCTTACTAACTAACTTTAATGTACATAAAGTAACTTACCCGGTGAACCCAGCAGATGCCAGCAATATTTCTAAGACATCTGCGAGTGTTTTCTACTCTTAATGGCCATGTTTCGCAGCCATAAAGTAGAACAGAGTGAACTGCTGCGCAGTATATTCGTCCCTTAATTGATAGACGGATATCTCGTCTTCGCCATAGGTGATGTAAGATGGCGAAAGCCAAACGAGCTTTTTGAATCTGTGCTGAGATTTCGTCAGACACCAACCCATTAGGTGAATAATTCATGCTATATATATATATATATATATATATATATATATATATATATATAGAAGGATTAGCAGACTTTTACAAATGTTCATTTCTCCTGTGCTTCTTTTTAAGACAACACATTTTATAACATGAAGTCTATCTTTTCTTTTTAACAGAAATTCATTATGAACTAAACTAGATTGTTCATGAACTATTTGGTTTTTCAATTATACTCAGTATCTGGCAAAATAATCAAAATATTATTTAGTTAGATGAAATGAAAGAAATGATATACAGATACACTATAGACAAATAATTTGCTATTAAAAACAAAATAGTTTTTCCTCTGATACTAGTGTAACACACATTAGTTGTTCGCAGGAATTCTCATTAAGCCTAACAAGAAAAACATCCACTGTAGTAAATTAATGTGAGATATTGAATCATAGTGACATACATTATAAAAAAAATAGAGCAGTTGTTATTGTATAACTTGAATTATATGTCATACTGATATTATCAATAGCGGCGAATGTTTTCAAGAGACAAGTGTCAAAATAATGCTGTTCATCATAAATAGATAATATATTTTCTCGATATAAATGTACATAAAAACAGAGAAATTCCATTGCGACATTGAGGAGGAAATAAGTACTATTGTCAGTGAAGAGATTTTACTTTTCGACCATATTTACTAAAGCTCTAAAATCCCATGTATGTTTATTTACAATATATTGTATTGAGAAAGAGAGTGAGACTGCGTCACACATTCTTTTTTAGAAACAACCTCCCATTCAATATTACCGAAAATGTTGGAACACAACCATACTCGATTTTCCAATATAAAATATATATTGTAAATAAATATACATATGATTGTAGGACTTCAGTAAATATTGTCGGAAAGAAAAATCTTTTTACTGACGATAGTTCTTGTTTTTTTCATCAATGTCTAAATGAAATTGTTGTGTTCTTATGCGTACATAAACTCAGTGAAAATGTGATGCACCCTGACTGACAATAAGAAAATAAATGACATAATCTATATTACAGAGATCAAACATTAGAAAGGCCTAAGCAACTAGAATTTATGATTATTAAGATAAAATAACGACTAAATCACGAACTAAACTAATAGCTACAATTTACTAATTAATTATTCAATTAAAGGTCAAAAGTTCAATCTTCAGAATGTCACAGTATGATTCGAATAGAAATTTGAATGAAGAAATCTGAACATGATTTGAAATAATAATTTTCAGCAATTAAATCACTTCATAATGTTAAAGAATTACTGTACAACATTTTCAAGTAAATAATTGTTTAGATAACTTCTTAAATAGCTATTATGTCATAATTATATAGATTAAACAAAACTACCTAAGTACAACATGTTTAATTATGCAAAAGAGCAAAAGATGAAAGAAAAAAAGACAGAATCCAAAATAGAATAAAACTAAAAATATATTGATGCAGAATAATATGAATTCATTATATTTCGTGGTTTCTCATCAGCTGCTTACAACCAAATATGCATTAGAGTTTTAGCATTAGGGTAATAAATAGAATGGAACAACTGACATAAGGGAATGTAAAGGATTGGAATAACAAAAGTCATCGATGATAACTATATATATATATATATATATATATATATATATATATATATATATATGGGCAAGGAAAGGTCAGAGGATATTAGGTATTAGAATAAAGGGTAGCATAATAGTTGAGTGGAGTTCAGAGACAGATAAAATCAAAATGTGATTATGTTAGAGGTAGTTGAAAACAATTAGGGTGGGATTACGTAATGATTGAATAATTTATAGACGTAGTTGAAAAACAATTAGGGTGGGATTACGTAATGATTGAATAATTTATAGACGTAGTTGAAAACAATTAGGGTGGGTTACGTAATAATTGAATAAGATTTGGATAGTTCATATAATTAGGAGTGACAAATGAGCGGAAATGTGTGAGAGAAAGGGTGGTTTAAGAATTGGGTATAAAAAACAACAGAAAATTAACCAAAATTGAACTAATAAAAAAAAAAAAACTGAAACAAAACAAAAATGGGTTACCAAGGGTTGTAAGCAGCTGATGAGAAACCACGAAATATAATGAATTCATATTATTCTGCATCAATATTTGTTCTATCTTTATTTAAATTCATAAAGGGAACTAACTGCATAAAAATATATTACTCACAATTGTTTTAAGTGGTAAAGCAATACTTTTATGGAACAGATGCTAATCATCTAAAAGAATGAAACTGCTTCAGTAAAGAAAATTATTTTTTGAAGATATCATTTACTGAAGTTGTACAATCAGACAGTCAGTCAGCTACAACGTGGGACCAGGCACATTTATGCATCGGTCCAAGTTGCCATACCTCGTTAGCACAACAAGATGAACACCAGATTCATAGAAGTATTTACTTTAGTGGTGGTAATATATAAAAGATAGGTTGTATATAGGCATATAGTATAGGAAGGAAGAAAGTTATGAAGAAATTTTAATCTCAAGGTTTAAGGGAGGATAAAGAGTGTATACACCTACGCCATTGTGATGGATTCTGAGCCATGTCACACAGAGTCTCCAACCATTGATTACGATAGTCATGCGGACCCCAGCCAAGTAGTCTGCATCTACCAACATGGCTCAGACTAGAAGGAAGTTGTACAATATTATCAGTAATTTTTACGTGTAGTGGTCTATGGTAGAATAGAGAAACCTTACAAAATTATCAAAAATATTTAAACTTATTCAAGTGAAAGTCAATGAAAATGAAGTGGTGTTGCATAATATAGTTCAAATTATCAAAAGATTTTAAGTATTGAAAATAATAATTTATAGACGGAAGGGTGTTATTCCAGGTTAATTAAAGTTTTCAAGTATTAAGTAAAAAAGGGGTTGCATTATTTAGCAAAGTAATCAAGAATCATGAAGAGCTTACGTTGAGTAATAAATATAGGAAGTAATTAGTAATAATCTACAGAATAAAATCTAAAGATAACCGTCTACTTGATTAAGAAGCAAAAGGTAATAATTAGCAATATTTCTAAGACATTTGTGATCAAATACTAGTAACTTGCAGGTATCCTCCACCCTGAATTACCACGTTTCGAAGCCGTAAAGTAAAACAAAACGAACTGCTGAGCAGTATAATCATCTTTTAACTGAGAGACAGATATCTCACCTTCGCCATAGGTGTATATTGCAATCTCGTAGTTCACGTGTGTACAATCATATGAGTTATAAATCTGCATTATAAAGGACATGTGACTACTCATCAGTTAATTTCTGATTGACAGTTTAAGAATGAGAGAATTTACCGGAGCGAAAATATAAAAACAGAAAAGAAGCGTCAATTATTAATGACTTATTAGGCCCAACAATCTGTCTCGCTATGATTATCAATTAGCAAGCCATTAACTTTTGTTTGTAAATCTAAAAAATGTGAAGAATCGACATTCTCCTATTCATAGTGTAATAGTGACGAATGTGTGATTGAAAAATTTACACAAGCAATCAATCAATCTAATCATCAATCTCTGACCCCAATAGGTTGTTTTTGATGCGTTCAATATATAACACTAGGAGCTACTATAATAGTCAACATACATGAGCCTAATATTAAAAAAAATTCAGAAACATAGTAGAATGAATGTGTGATATCAGTATTCTCATTACATACTGTGATTTATACAACGCTGTTAAAAAGAATTGCCTAAGACGAACTGTTATATCAATGTATATACTAAATTCTGTTTGAATATTAAACATTGAATAAGATGAATGAATTACAAGTTCAATCGTAATGATAACTATGATTTCACTATGTACATTAATTTACAGTGAAGTTACATTACACGTTTACATTAGGTTAAAAAAAAAAGAATATAAAATTGAAAACTTCACTTCATTGTAAAAACTGACAAGCATTCAAAATACCGCTTCCCATTTCATTAAGACCAAGAAAAATAAACAATGCACAACGAATATCATCATTTTAAAATAGAATACAAACATTTACATTACTAACATGGATTACATTGCAAAGATTATTATTGATTTAATTATTAAACCAGTCAACTAACCTATATTTATAGCTTCAGATACATGCACCAAATCATCGATATGTATCAGGTCGAATAAACATTTATTCAAAAGGTCGACTTTTGTATAACCCGATTGTGTTAAGAAACTAAACATAAAAAGAAGATTTAAGAAAAATGGTTTACAAAATTAGTAATTAAAAAGTCTAACAAAATGTTTTTGAGAAAAGCAATATCATATGTGTATACCTTTGAAACTAGAATGAAACAGTTCGTTAAATCACATTTATTTCTAATGGTCACTACGAAATTACGGATATCCTGTAATAAAAAATCCATACAAAACAAATTATTTTTCCAAAACTGTCTCATTCAATGATTGTGATAGACTTCTTGATGTTTTATGGTGGGAAGACATGGATTATGGATATGAGGCAATAAACTCACTTACAACACTGGGCGAAAATAGAATTAAACTGAATTCTGACTAAATTTGGAAGATGTACACTATTGCATACTTACCAGTTCAACTAAATGGTAATCTGAACACGACATTGAAAACACAAATTCATATATTTAATTTGATGTTAGACCATAGAATATCTGGTTTATTAAAATGTCTTTAACTAGAATAATGAAACAACAGACATCTGATTCTTAATAGTTAGTCAGCCCTAAATACCTGAAAGATATTATTTATTGATACAAATCACACCTTCAAATTATAAAAAATATTAAGTTATAACATTTTAATAGTGAATAAAAGTAGAAAAACCTAATGTAAAGGATTAATCTAAGGTAAGATTAAAAAAACTAAAGGAATGTAGTAGACAAAATCAATAAACAATATGTATCTAGTCTCCGTTCATGATGAGTTGACTGATTTAAATTTTGATAATTGTTACTTAACATTTAACTACTCTAGATGTATGCTATTTCAGTTAGGCCTCCACAAAAGGTGAATCCAGCCGGCTCTCTGTACTGACTAGGTGAGGATCAAGTGAATGACTATACTTGGATACTGTATGCGCGTTTCAGAGACAAAGACTAACATCAATGACAAGGAATTCTAGAGTCCTAGTTAGGAAAGCCCGATAAATTATTCGAACATTGAGGACCTCAATATGCAGCATGCTTCCAAGAGACCGGGAACAGCACTTCATAGGCTCGAATAATTAGCATTGATGGCGCATAGAGATAAAGTTATGCGAAATTTGATGGTGAGGATAGAAGGAATATTAAGAAATGACGAAGGAATTTAGTCGTGAACAAGGGAATCTCTGGTGCTGTTAGAAGTATGAGGGTGGTTGATATTTCTTGGTTGCCTACATTGTAGAACGGTATTTCCTCTAGACAGTCCTGAAAGGGAAACTGGGCTAATAGTGGTAGTAAAGGCCTGGAAGCGTGGCTCTCGAGTCCAGGGGACAAATAAGTGAGACTGATTATACACGACCTTACTGTGAAACGTTTGTGATGTGTTAGCTGCGTGCTTCAAAAGGACCTACCGCTGATCTCAAGTTTTAGTCTCCCTTCTCAATTAGCCTTCTTCCAATATATATATAAACCAGCACATCCGATCATCGAGGTAAGTAGTAGTTAGACATATGTAACACATACAAAAACCACCCTCAGTCAATGAAGATCCACAACCTCATCAACTGATTTGCTATATCAACCTAGTATTCTGTATCTAACCTTAACATTGTTCACTCGATCAACTCAGGAAGTGCTAGCAATACTTTGAAAACACTTGGGTATCAAAAATCCATACAAACAAATAACAACCTAATTGACGAACTCATTCCTTTGTTCAAAATAAAAATCTATATCCCAGACACATGCCTCTTGTAACAAAGTAAAACCTTTGCTACATAAATCCCAGTCCGTAAATATCTTTATTTGACTTGCATTTCAATTGTGAACAACAATCAACTTCAGTAATAAAAATTTAACACTGAAATAAGTACATTCAAATTTTTAATACAAATATATTTTAGAGGTGAGACCAAAATTTATGGACGACCTTTGAGACAAGACCTAACTTGGAATCCTGAAGGGAAGCAGAAAAGAGGAAGGTCAAAGAAACCATTATGTCGGGAAATAGAAGCAGATATGAAAAGGATTGCCCCGGACAGGGTTGGATGGAGAATACTGGTGGGCGGCCTATGCTCCTCCACGAGGGGTATCAGGCGTAAGTAAGTAAGTAGTAATGGTTTGAGCAACACTGAAGTGACCTTGAGAATGTCCATCAATATACTAGGGCTAAGTAAAGATTATAGACCACCATGAACAATTAGAATTATGATTAACAGTTGATGGTTACGGTTAATAATTAGATTTACAGTTTTCATCATGAATTGACATCAACTAATATGCCGAAACATTATTTGGCCAAATGAATAAAGAATTTCGTACCGAAATCCAAAACCTATTATCGTAAATCTGATTGATTCGTCCATAAATTATATTCCCATCATTTACTTACTTACTTACGCCTAATACTCCCAATGGAGCATAGGACGCCGACCAAGTCTCATCATTTAATATATAAAAATTACTTACTCATTAGCAATATCTATAAATTGTAGATTTTTAGTTGAATGATATGTTCTACATGAATTTGATAAGCTTGTACAACATGAATTATTATTATTAATAAATTTTACAAATGTATTATTTTTCTGTACAGTATTATTTCTATGATTATTATAACTAATATTATTACCATTCATAATATTGTTATTAATACGATCTGAATGATTATGGATATTATTATTATCAGTAAAACATGATTCATAATTTTCTTTATTAACATAATCATGAGTATTATTGTTAATATTTGGTAAATGAATAGGTTGTAGTAAATATATTTGAAGATTTATATCATTAGCTCGATTTGATTTAAATGGATAATCAGCTTCACTGTCGCCACTATTATTCTTATTACTAGGATACGAATCATTGTGATTGTGTAATAATATTTCAGTTGAATTACAATATCCAATATCAGTTCTGTTGTTAATGTTATGATTAGGATTAGAAGAAAAGTTATTAGTTTGTTTGTAATTTATATGATTATTTGAAAATGGTAATGGAGACGATGATGATAATGATGATGACGACGGTGATAACGAACTACAGCTAATATCGGAAGTGAAATCTTCATGTTTTGAAAATTTATTTCTGATAGATACATTTGAACTATTCCAACATAATACGAACTTTAAAAAAAACAGAATTCAAATAGAATAAAAACAAATAAACAAAATATAAGATGATTTGTTGATAGTGAATTTATGAAATGATAAATTTATAGAGATAAGCTTGACGATATTTATTAAATAACTAATTAATAATAACAGAAATGGTTAATAATAAACAAACCAGACCTGAGACGTTTATGTTAGATTCTACAGTGTTTACACCTATCCAGTTGTTGGGTTGATTAAGTCAGCCTGGTATATCACGGATAAAAATTTAACTTCATGTGTCTAAGAAACTGATAAGGACTAGAAAATATAACATTGCTGATCAGAATAACAGTTAATAATTTAAAATGTGAAATGACTTGCATTTTATTTTTGATTGTTGTGTATAAACTAAGTGAGATAAGTATAAAACTCAGGTGAACAGTAGGTAATGTAATGTAAATTAGTAACGAAATACAAATTCGTATACTCCATTTTAAATCAAACTTTTTCAAGGTGAATGGAGAATACTACTCTCCTGTTAAGACAGAAGCAAGTAAAGTAGAAACCACGATTATACACCGTTTAGACAAACGACAGTATATTTACACAGGAAAGAGACCAGAATGCATTTGCGCTTAATACTGAATTTTCACGTTTCGGAGATCCCAGTGCTTTCGGAGATTTCCAGATACTGACAATTTTTATCTGACATCGCCATGGATAATCATGATCTGTAGTGGTAAATTATAAACCAGGAATCTGACAACAAAATTAATAGACGATTCAGATATATAAACAACAATGACTACATTCCATTAGGCATGGATACAAATTTAGTATGTAAAATGTTTGCCAATTTACATAAATGAACAAATGTTTTGATGTATAAAATTTAATAACTTAAAGTTAGGATTTCAACTAACAAAGTCAAATATTGAGTTCATGATATACATAATAGATAAGTAAAATGATTTGTAACTATATTGTATCAGTAAAATGTTGTACACTGTTAAACACAACCCCTTTACAAAGTGGAACTAGTAATGTTGATCATTAACTGAATAAATGATACTTTCATCATTAAATTATGTATATTACTATTCTATAGACAAAAAATTCCAGTATTTTGTGTACAGGAACGGTTTGACGTAGTATTTACATTGATGTGTCCTATTATTAATAAAAACATTTACCCCTATCTGATCAAGATCGAAATCGGTAAGCAACAAAAAGATAATTCATTCAAACACACACATACAAACAAAATTGATTTTTAAGCAGTACAGTCTACCGAAAACAACTAGCAAGTAACAAGGAACAGAAATTATATGCAATCAGCAATATGGAGATTTTAAGTCCATAGAAAGAGAGGGAGAGGGAAAGAGTGTGCGAAAACTAGACAAAATAATGAAATTTTAGAGACAGAATAAACAGAAAATAAAAAAGCACATGATACAATGAAATGATGATAACAAAAACAAGAACATGTGGTACTGTCGTCATTCATTATATATATTTGCTATGATGATGAGTTTAGATAATATGTTCTACACAATTCTAAAAACAGCAAATCGGAGAGAAGGTAAAAAAAAAAGAAATTGTTTACTCCGAAAACTAAACAATGTGGCCTTTGATAAATAATCACTATCTGTCATTATTTATACGAATATTCGTCAAGGTTAGAACGAATAGTTTGACAATAATTTGGCGCCGAGTATAGAGAATTCATTATATGTGAAAAAATTATAATTGAAATGGTCTCATATTATCCTGTTTACAAAAATTCAACATCTAAATATGATTGGATTAAAAAGTAGTAGAGATTTTAATATGATTGTTAAAAAACACTGTATATTTGTTTGATGATTTTGATTATTTCCCTGAAGAAGTCCAGACAAGTTAGCTGGACGAAACGTTGGAATTATTTATATTTCAATCGCTGAGACTATTTCAATTATATTTTCTTCACATATAATGAACTGTAATTATTTGTTTTTAAGACAAAAAAACTTAAAATTTAATATTAACTATAATTCAATGCAGAAAAAGCTAACAAATACAATAAAGTTGCATGAAAACAGTAGGGGGAAAGGTGGTTGTTTTAGGAAAAACTATTAGTTGGAGAAAGATAAGTTCCAAATAATAATAAGCATTAAATTAAATAACGTGATATTCTATTGATAAATAGATTCGAGAAAAATAAATGTGAAATAAAATGATAATAATATGTCTATTATGATCACTATAAATTTGTTGAAAAATGATTTCTTTTCAAGAACATTATCTCTTCATCATATTAATAGAAATAGTTTACTGATTTAGTAAATTACAAATATGTATATATAAAACTTTTATCGACTAACATGTGACGTAACAAACATGAGGACGGAGTGAATAGCTGAATAATGTTTAATCCTAGAACTAACTTTCGTTTCCTTAATTTTCGGTGTTCATTTAAAAGTTCATTGAAAATGGATTTTCGTGGAAGAGAAAGTATTTTGTTTGGAGCCTGTTACTTGGTTATTAAGTGTCATCAGTAACTAAAAGATTTAGCATTTACAACTACACATGTATAATGCGATTATCATGAATTCTATGAAAAAGAAAACAAATTTCTAGTTCAATTTTTAAACATAATACACAAAATATGTCTCAATTGGATACTGATGTTAGGCGGGGAATAATTATCGTTAATAATCATGTTTTGATTTTGTTGTTATGTAAATGACCTATATAATGAATAAATATCTTAAAATTACAAATATGTTAGGTAATTTTTTACCACCCTCGTTTTTGTGACTACTATTATCCAAAAATATTTTGCATTCAATTAAAAAGGTTTATTTTCACGTCCCCGACCGTTGCTGCTACCTTGATGTGGTGGTCGGGCTTGCCTATCGTGATGAATCAATCGAGCTATACTGGCTGGAAGAATCGTCCCTCAAGGTCCTACCATGCCAGGCAGGTCGTTTGAAGAGCGGTGAGACTAAAAGCAGCAAACCCAAGGTCCGAAGGCGAAGTCATACTGCTGACTGTACAGAGGTGTCACAGCAGTAAGGTGTTTCCTTCAGACAACCAGCATGACAGCGATGCTGCCTTCCCACAAGGAGGGGTGGGGTTAGAAAAGGTCGACCCTAAAAATGCACACCTCGCTTTATCCCACGGATATCCGTCTCCGGCGGTAAGGTCCTTCGAAGAATGGAGCGAACACAAAAACTACCCACAAAAAGATAGTGTGTGACCGCACCTTAAGCAGTTGTCCCTTGGGCACTGCGGTCACGCTCTCAGGTCATTAAGACCACTTCTAACCCAATTTCCTTTTCAGGTACCCCTAGAAGAACCCTTCCACGGTGTGGGCAACCGGGAAGTGATAACTGCCCTCATACCTCTAACAGCACTCAAGACCACTGTATTCATAATCAATCTCCTTCTTCAATTCCTACTATACCTTCTACCTTGACTTTCAAAATTAAACTTCCTCTTTCGGTTTCCTCCTCAAGTGTCACCATGGCCAACGATTCTAGTGCGCGAAACGCTGTCCCAGGTCTACTTAAACCTCGCTCCAAACTACACATTGGAGCCTTCAACGTACGTACCCTAAGTCAAATCGTTCAACAGGCCTTCTTAGCCAAAACCCTAGAATCTCGTACCATTGATGTATGCTGTGTCTCCGAAACACGCATACAGGATCCTAGTGTGGTCATTCACTTGACCTCACCTCACCAAAATGGACAGCCAACGAAATACACCCTCCGTGTATCTGGCGACCCGTTGGCTAGTTCTCGTGTACTCGCAGGTGTGGGCATAGCACTAAGTACAAGGGCAGAACAGGCACTATTAGAATGGATCCCCGTTAACAGTCGCCTGTGTGCTGTCCGGCTAAATGGCTCCGTAAGAACTCGGAAGGACAGGGATACACGTCGTTGGCTTTTCGTCTTTTTCTGCCTACGCTCCCACTGACTGAAGCCATGATGAAGTGAAAAATGACTTTTACAGAATATTCTCTGAACTTCTTCAGAAAGCTAAGCGCTCACACATAGTAGTTGTAGCGGGTGACTTTAATGCCCAGGTAGGCAGCTTGAATCAAACAGAAAGACATTTAGGTGGGTGTTTTAGTATTCCGGCTCAACAAACCGATAATGGTGATCGTCTGTTGCAACTATGCTCAGACAATCGTTTATTTTTAGCAAGCACTAATTTTAAACATAAGGAGAGACATCGTCTAACATGGCGACCACCTGCACCAAACCAACGATGGACTCAAATAGACCATATTGTCATCAGTCATCGTTGGAGAGGCTCAATAGAAGATTGTCGTTCGTATTGGAATACTTGTTTAGACTCTGATCACGCTTTAATACGAGCGCGTATTTGTCTTCGTCTCAATGGACGCAGGAAAAGTACACTAAGAAGATCCATTAGGATTGTACTGGAGGACGAGAAAGACAAATGCGAATTCCAGAAACAACTGAGTTCACATCTAGGCAGTTCTGTAAACGAGACTGACACAGATGCTGCTTGGAAAGACATACGAACAGCTGTGGAAACAGCAGTTACATCTATTAGTCATTTAAACCATAGGGCTCCAAAAAACCAGTGGATTTCTTCTAAGTCTATTTCACTGATAGATTCGCGTAAACTCATCCCATCAGGCTCTGAACACGACGAAGAGCGTAAACAAATCAGATCTAGGTTAACTAAAAGTCTAAGGAACGATCATGAGCAGTGGTGGGCAACGAAAGCAAAAGAGATGGAAAAGGCAGCGGCTGTAGGCAACACCACGCAACTATTCAGACTAATAAAATAAACCGGAATTAAGAAGTCAAGTGTAAGTGAGACAATCTCGGAAAAAGACGGAACCCTTATCTGCTCTCAACCCAAACGTTTAGAACGATGGGCGGAACATTTTAAGGAGCAGTTTAGCTGGCCTTCATCTACTTTACAGTCACACACCATTCCCAAACAGTCTGAATGGGACATTGAAGTAGGTTTCTCGACTCTAGCTGAAGTTCAAAAGGCTATAACTAATC